TCTATTTTGTGAAGTACACCAGTCCCTCAAACAAACAATTGTTTGAAAAATGACTTTTGTCTTGAACAGTATTCCCTTACAGACATGCCAAAACTATAGATAACATGAAATGTGTGCATTGGTTAAAAAATAAGTTTATATGAATGACAATTCAGTGAGTGCTTGCAGGGAGCTCATTGTTTGCTCTGTCTGAGTTTAGTGTGAGATGTGTGAATTTGTGAAACTAAAGGCTAGGATGGGAATAGATTGAGTTCATAGAGAACGCTCTCTGGTTTCTCTGCCTGAGATCAAAAAGAGGCAAAAAAAATTGAAAATATGAGAATTATTTCAGGGCTTGACGTGAAACTTAAAAGGAGACTAATTTGAGATTTTGTGAGTCTTTTTCTCCTGGAAAGAAAACTGAAAGACAGGAGAAGTAAACTATAGCCTCATTTTGGTTTCTCTCAGATCTCATAGTTGCCTAGGAGAAATGAATGAAACACTTTTGAGATCTCTTTTCTGATTTTATTTTCCTCTGGGTTGAATTAAAAATGGACATTTTGGAATACATTCATTCAGAGTTGGAAGAGAAGATTAATACAACTCTCTCATCTCTCTGTTGGATATTTGTTTAAACTGGTTGTCGTGGTTCTACAGGGGAGTTACCTGTGCAGGAAATATTTTTTTCACAGTTACTTCCTTGCAAACACACGGTGAAGGAAGAATACTGGGCCAGACCAATAAATAGTTCCATCATGTAGATCCCTGTAAAACCGTATCTTCTCATTCTTACATGTGTGTTTGTATACAAATTAAACAAATAAGATGTAATGTGTTGTTTGTGAGCTTAGGAGGTGCTGGTAGGAGTATTTTCTTACCTTTGTACTGAGCCAACTACCTTCCCCCTGTTACCAGTCTTCATGCTAAGCTAAGCTAAACCTCTCCTTCACATGTACAGACAATATCAATCTTCTCACATAACTCTCTGCAGGACAGTAAATAAGCATCAAGTATATGACTGCTTGTTATTTTACAAAGTGTACCAAGTTCTAACATTTCTAGGTTCATTTCTTACCTGTTGAGCAGCAGTTGGTTTCATAACCTCTTGCAATGATGTTGCAACTTGCAGATACTTCAACAACAGAGAAAGTGGCTGTGAATCTTTTCAGCAGTAGTTATATTACTGCCATAAGTCAGTGAGGGTAGCCACTTTGAAAAGTTACCTGGTGGTGCATTCAAGGATGCTGTGACATCCAAGTGTTGAGAATTTTCAGCTGAGAAGCACTGAATTTTTGCGGTATGCTGTATGTTAGTCAAACCCAGCAGACAAGAAAGAGTTAAGTACTTTGCTGTTAAGAGTCTTGTCTCTACAGCAAGTCTGAAGTTTCAGGTAGTTGATTTCGGCTCTCTGGAAATCTGGAGATCTCTGATGTACTGTGTAAATTTTTGGCAGTAATAAAAGCGACTGTGAAACATGCACTGGAATAGTCCGTTAAAGCAGTGTGAACCGAAGCCATCCAGGTTTTATGCTTCCACTTTCATTTCGGATCAATGATTAGATATTATCTGATTTAAAGAGATCAACATCAGCCCAATATTTCAGTGGGCTGGTATGTCAGTCTAGTCTGAGTTAATGACTGATGACTGAAGCAAGAGGAAAGAAATTCAGTGGAGTGGCTTCTCTAGACTAAACAAGCCCTAGTGCTCAAAACTGACCTGAGAGAAGTGCCACTCTTAGCCTCAACACAATGTCATAATTGAATACTTTTAGATATATGTTGCACTGCACGAGGAGCAAACAAACAGAAAAGAGTGGGACCACGAAAAGTGCACAACAGTGTGAACAAAGACAGGGCACGGCTTGCTTCCGAAAACAAACAGTGAATACAACCAGATGGATTTTCCATTGCAGAGCTGTGTTAATGAGAGGAAGCAAGGGAGTGCTTCCCAGGGATTGCATTGTGATACCGTGGACCGTTCCACCTTAAACAGCTTGATCGAGGGAAACCTCCTAGAGTTTGGCCCGCATGTCTACTTGCCCTCCTCAGTCAGAGATGGTAATCCCCACCTGGGATACCTGGAAAACAGCCATCCAGCATCCGCCTTCAGCCTGCTATATGAGAGGATGTCTGATAATGTCTCAGATATACATATGACTCAGAAGCTGCACTGCCAAACTTAACATTTAGTTGATGCCAACTACACTTAATGTTCTTCCTGTTCTGTCCCACTAATTCGTGGAACGTATTAAAAATAAAAACAAGTGCACGGTGCAGTCCCAGGTCAAAGAACTCTGAGGGCTATTGTTGGTAACAGGTAAACAGTTTCGAGAAATATTCAAGAATGTTTGAAACTTTTTTTTAGAAATATATGATTCCTTCCCTCGTTGTGCATTCACAATTTTTCCATGTTTGCCACGCAGACCTTTTTCCATCATGACTGTCAATAAATCTGGAGCGGAGAAAATAAAAAGGCAGTCCACTTATACACAAGCGCAGTGGAATCTCTTATCTAACATAATACTCTCAGTAAACAAAAAAAAAAAACATATGTGCACAAGTCCAAATTAATGAAATTATATCTACCAAAACTATATAAACCAATTTTAGTCTTGAATTGCATCACAAAACACATCAACTTCAATAAAAGCAGCAGAGATGTTTTCACACAAATAGGACTGCAGTATAATAATAACATTATAATACAGGATGATGTTTTCACATTCATCTTTTGAATCTTATCAGTCACAGTTTAAGATGTGAATGTAAAGGCAGGATTTATGACATCACATCCAGTTTGGAGCTCATCATGGTCCAGTATATAACCAGTCAGGGACTATTTTCTGGGAGGAGGTGCTATAAATACACATTATAGACTTGTTTACCCTTACTTATTTTGTGGTGCCCCACCCTGAACCACATTGTCAAACACAGCCGTGCTGATTAAACGGAGATATTAATGAGCTTCAAGATTTTGATTTCTAACATCAGTTAATTTAAGAAGGAAGCATTATTAAGAAAACTATAAAGTGAGATCTATGAAAATAAAAAAGGTTTATTTTACAGAGGCATAGCATATGTCATGCATACTCATATCAATCATGATAATAAAATCTTTTAATAAAAAGTGCAAAATCAGAAGTCATCAGTCAAATCACAGTTACTGATGGTGCAAATATTTGTAGCCTACTTGAATAAATGAATGAAGGCTGGCTATTCATGAAGCCTAGTCATAGGTCTCCAGAATCAATTTCACGAAACAGAACATGAGGCCAAAAGAAAACAAGCAAAAATAGATAAATAGTTACCTGCAGTTAGCTCAGCTGGTGCCTGGAGCCTTTCACATTTGAACACTTTTTTAGAACTGTATTACCTTTCAGTATTTCTTTTGTAATTAAGTCTTTCGTTGCTCTTTCAAAATGATTTGGTGCAAACAGTTTCCATTACATCATCAGGGGGTGTTTGCAGGCAGTGTTGCCAATTTGGTACCTTTTTTGAGAAAAAAAGCACGTAGCAATAAATCTAGTGACTTTTTGGACAAACCTTAGAGGCTTTGCATAGGAGACAGTCGTCAGTACTGCCCTGCGAGCACGAGACCGTGCTTTCCCTCCACAGGCACACCTCTCTATGCCTCTCACTGCACAGCAGCTGACAATGAGCTTCTAACTTTCTCTCTGACTTATCATTTTACAAGTACATATAGCTGAAATCACACCACAGTCTTTAACTCATGTGGTCAGGTGATTTTGTCAGATGACGTTGCAGTTGTAGAATCAGGATTTTAGCAGCAGCCTGGAAGTGACTGCTGATTAACATGTAGTCTTAATGAGCGGCGCTTCAGTCTCTTTCATACTTGTTCTGTTGTCTGACAACAGAAACAGAAAAACATGTGAATGAAAACAGCTTTATTGTGAATCCAGCTGTATTAAAATACCGTATATGAGAGCACAGAGAGGAGAAGAGAAGCAAACAGATAAAGGGCTGAAACCAACTGACACTAGGCTGGATGCAAATAGGATACTATTTACAATGACATCATGAATCATGAATATTCTAATTCGCGTATTATGTCATCTAGCGACATTTAGTGATTTTTTGAGCAGGTTTAAGCTACTTTAAATTGAAAGAAGTTGTTCACAGTGGTTGTTTACCACAACAGTTTTCAACTACATCCTCAGTTTTGCACATTGACCACACTGATCCAACCATATAGGTTTTGGTCACATCCCACGAGGGACCAGGCTTTACCAGACTGATCTCACTGCTGTGTCATGATGATGCCTGCACACCTGACTGAGTTCAGATCAATGTGTGTCAGTGTGTCTAACCACCAGCTGTAAATTCCCCCATGCTGATAACAAACTTCATGAGTTATTTCAACATTTCAAAGGGGTCAGTGCACAGAGTGACCCCTGCTGAGGCCGCCTGAATTTGTTCTGAGAAGCCCACGAGCAGCTCAGACATGAAAAAGCTCTGTGGCTGCTGCACCTTCACTCGGAGCAGCAGAGGGGAAGTTCCCTCCTAGTGCACAACGTAAACTTGGCTCCAATAAAAGCATCCGTTGGCACCTCAGTGGACAACAGGAAATCTTTGTTTATCGAAAAACATCCCGTTGTTGGCCTCGGGGTATGTGACCCCTCTCGTACAGCGGCAGAGCGTCATATAGTAGCTGTGGTGGAGCCCAATATATCAGGATCTCAGTACTGAACAAAGCCACCATATCCTTAAGATAAACAACAAAGGCATAAAGTATGTGCGTATATGTACTCGTAGCACCGGGTCTACGTCAGACCCTCTGGCCCACGTCTGTCAAAGAGGTTGGTATGTATTGTTTAACATAGCTCTAGACTTAGTGTCGGACATGCCCGTGTTCAAGGAGCACAACACCTAAAGTTAGAAGTGGGCAGAAGTAGAGACAGTTGTACAATAGCATATCCATAACTGTGACAGCATGTTCCTTTATGTTTTTAGCTGAAATACAGAATATAGTATTTATACCCACAACAGCAGCTGCTGAATCTGTTTAATCTACCCAGTCAATGGGTTTTTATTACGGTTCCAGCAACAGATCCATTTCATTCACAGTGACAGTTCAACACATTTACATTTCCTTACACTATTTCCTCACATACATATGCACTATATACCAGAGAATGGGTATATACGGTTGGGTAAATACATGTTAAAACAGCAAACATCCTAAATCATATTGCATTGCATCTGCTAGCAGTTGTTTCTGCAATGATGTGGAGTAAAAAAAAAAATAAAAATAAAAGGCTAACAAAGATTGAAGAAGTTACATTTTGAGGATATTTTATACCACTTATTTATTTCTGGATTTGTTTAGATCAAAATAAAAACAACTACAAATTATAATGAGCTATTACGATGCACAGTCAGTTTCACATTTCCATTAAAAACACACGTGTGGAGATGGAGAAATGTCAGTGAGTGAGCGTGTACAGTACGAGCAGTACCTGAGGTCAAGTTTCTTTAAATGGCTGGTAACAATGTGTGGTACAGTTTTTGGTCAAGGTGCATGTACATCTCATCAGTATCTTCACAGCATGTCTGTGACTGCTCTCCTAACACAAACACCAACAGCTAGTCTTCTGTCTGAAATTTGTTCACGTCCTCCATATTCTCAGCAGGTTGAGGCATTGCGTTTCTGGCACTTGTCCTGCGGTTTCGCCTTGGACGGTGCTCCGAGAACCAGTTGGAGACGGTCATGGCGAGGCGGAGGAAACCCAGGCTGATGCAGTGGACCTCTGAGGTGATGGGGATGTCAGAGAAAAGGGCATGGTCCCGGCACATGAGGACACTGCTGCATTCGAAATCTTTGACAATGTTGAGGATCTCCTGGCGCTCTGCTTGCCGCATCATCCCCCGTATGTTCAGCAGGGTGGAGACGTGCTTCTTCCTGTGGGGAGGAAGGATATGAGGAGGAGGATGAGGGGAAGGGAGGTAAAATGGGTGTTAATGGAATTTGGGTCTGTTTGGTGTCGCCAAAGGCTGTCATGACTTTGAGTAACAGTCATATCTCTCTGAGTCATAGTCTGTCTCTGGGAAATAACAGAAGATTTGGTATCGCTTTCTAAAAAGGCTAATTTATTAAGAAAGTTTATAAAAATGAAACTATAATAATGCTCAGTAAATCATTCCCTGATGCTTTCAGGATGGGCTATGAGGCAGTAATAAGAACAACTTGGGTTCGTACACAGTTACACTTTTACATATACTTACATATACAATACAATACAATTTTGTATCTTTTTTATTATTATGAAAAAAATATTATTCTTTTTCATAATAATATTTTATTTGAATTATTTGTCATTCTTTTTTCAAATACTTATTTTTCCCACCAGTCATTCGGCACAGCTTCAGAAGTTGCCTCGGTGCATTTCTCTACATATTACTGACAAATAAACCTTTGAACCTTTGAATCCTTGTTTGTGAAAAAGATCCCTTTGACTTGTGTTGATACTCTGTTTTGCAATAATGTATTTATAAATGTTGGTAATACTGGATGTATCACCTTTTAATAAGCCACCAAGACTGCAGGTATGACTGTTACACTGTATAGTTTGTTTGTTTTTTAAGATAATTAATGAAATCTCTATTTGTTCATTTTGATGAACTAGTACTGTGCTAGCTAAGAAGATTAAGCAAATGTCAAATGGAAGATTTTTTTCTCAATCTGGGCAACAAGAAGGTCTTATTTGTTGCTTATAATAATCTACAAAACATTAGTAAATAAACCATTATTTCCAATAAATGAACCCCATATAAAGGGTGTCTTACTATCAAGTAGCACCAATGGGCTTTGGTTTTTGACAAGTCAACACTTGGCATTTAGATACATGACTGAATAAGGAGGAAAGACTGGAAGGAGGCTGGAAGGACTGACATGTATTCCCATGCGTAGGCACAGTCATGTGTCTATGAATGGACTCGTTCAGTGAAGCACCCAGAAAACTCCAGGAAGGCCGGCAGACTTTGATCTCCTAAAATACCAGCAGGGGATGCCATGCAGTAAACAAAAGGGGTGATTCAAGCAGTGAGTTAGCATGTCTCCAGGTCTGAACTACTGTGTTTTGCTCTCCTCTTCCACACCTCTCCCTCTTTGATTCCATGTGTGGCACCAGTCTGTCTCCTGCAGCGTGGCAGGAACAGGAAGTACTCGGCAGCAGCTTCCTGTCTGCTCCGCGGAGGGTTATGCGTCACATGCGGCTGTAGGTTGCCAACCGTCACCTGAGTCTTAATCTGTGCACAAACAGCCCGGGCGGCTGGGTCCCCCCGAGGCCTCTCAGCCTCATCCATTCTCAAAACAGACCCGTGCTCTTCTCCAAAAATAGCAAAGTTAATGTAGATATGTTTCCGTGCTCCTTTTCCTTGTTTTGATCCATTGTGAAAAAAAACAAAACATACATACTCTTACATTTTCTCTGCTTTGGCTAAGTGCCAAAAACAGCACTCTGAATGTGTAGTAGTAAGCACAAAAGCATATAAGACCTTTGGTGGTATAGAGCAGGCAGATCTGTTTTTGTGGATGCTTCCTGGTTGCAACAGAAACGTTTCAACACAGTTCATTTGTTAAAAACTCTCACCGTATATCTGGAAACTCTTTCACCAGGACAGCCACCTCCATCTGGATGGAGGGAGTGTCCTCCAAGAGAATGATGTCAGCCAGGTGACAGATGACGCTATCCAACCAGGACGAGCTTGATTCCTGAAGAACAGACAAAACAAAGACAATTTAATTATCATGCAACAAGTATAAGTATTTATTACCATTAAAAAACATGGAATCGATATTTACGATTGGCTTCCTTTTAAAAATTTGTTGTGTTATCGCTGTTTATCCAAATGGCTTCTTCTTCGTATCAAACCTGTGTTTTGAAGAAGAGCTAGAACTAGCAGAAGAAACAGATTAATACCTTTAAAGCCAGAGGCCAAACATTTAAGTGATTTACTGAGTGAATAACAGAACTCCACCTCTGTTTTTCTAGGTCCTGTTTTTCCTTCAAACACTCAGGAAAACGAAGGCAGAATTCCTTGGCTTGGCATTCACTAAAAATAACAGCGTCTGTTTTAGACAGCCATTAAAAACTAATCTCTCTCCACCCCTCCCCAGCCCAAGTTCCCAGTTTCCACAGACACTTCATCTCACTCCTCAGTGAAAAAAGGCCATCAAGGCCGTCCCAGAGCCACATCAAAGCTGGCCAGCTGACAGGAACAGGAAGTTCCTTCTGAACACAGCGGCTTCCTGTTGTCAGCCGAGGTGACGGACACTTGTTTGAACTCACACACATAAAGGGGGCAAATGCCACACTGACAGGCCTAGTTGTTTTACACCCTCTTCCCCCCCGTGGCAAGTGCTAACGTAAGCCTGGTTCATCCATCTCCATCTCACTGACGGCAGACATTTTTCAGAGCTCACTCCTGTATCAACACTGTCTGAGTTATTCCTGACCTAGGAAGTTCGAGGGTCAGGCTCCATTCACAGCCACCAGGCTCTGTGTTCCCCTTGCCAGCTCTGCTCACTGTTTTGAACAATCAGCATTTTGTGATTATTTATTATAGTCAGGGTCTCCTGAAAAGTAATTTGTTGTGTCTTGGATGCAGTACGTGTCCTGTGCAGGCTAAGTCGGTTTAAATGTATGCTGTCCTCTTTAACGACACAGTCTGATTCATTTAAATGAATAATGACCAGACTCACCAGATCTTTAAAGAGTCCTTTCAGCTGTTTGGCCTCATCTTGCAGACGGAAAGCCATCCTCTTCCTCATCTTGGAGGATGTGCAGATGACCCGCCCCCGCATGATGGCTCGGACATACTCCACCAGGACTCGCCGGTGCACCTCACCCACCAGCGTCTGTCAGTCATTCATAACATTCATCACTGATTGGCCGCATATGACCATCAAGCAAATACTGTATTTGATTTAAACATATTACACACAGACTCTGTTTGATCACACAGGTGTTACCTGATATGGTGGAGCGTCCATCCTTCTGAACCTCTTGAAGTGCTGTTTAATGCTGGCTTCAATGGCCTCAAAGGCCTCTGTGTTATTCAGCCATTTTCTCTTTATCAGTTTGTCAAAGAAAGGCTGGAACAACAGACCAAGATCTAGTTAACAGAGTACACAAACACAGTACATTTACTCAAGTAGGGGAGACTGGGGACGGTTGCAAGAAGTCTTATTGCAATCAGAAACATGCTGGAGTGCTAACACTCATATTGCATAGGCTCAGTTAGGCCTTCCTCCCACCAGGAAGAGAGAGGACACATTCCACATCTGCTGCTGCATTTATTGAGAAAAACTTGGTTTAGAGGTATGAAAGTTTTTTTTTTGTTTTTTTTTTATGATCTGTGTTTTTTTCAAACTGTCCTGACATTTTGAATGAATTAATCAAAACTTACTTGGGTTGAATCATTGTTTTGTTTACTTCTAAGTGTCATGCTGAAGGTCAGTGTGACTAGCTAGCACATGTTGTTCTGTCATGGCTGATAAGGTGAGGACAGTCCCCAAGCTAATCAGCCAAATCAAAACAGGCCACACAACAGTATGTTTCAACATTTTTAATTCAAAATAGGGCAAAATGTTGAAAATTTGACTAATTTTGTCCTATAGCACAATAAATGCAACAATAATTATTCATTTCAATGCATAAAAAATACAAACAAGTTATTTTGGGAATTATTTTGTTTGTCTCTTACAATATAGCTCCCTGTTCTGTTCATGAGAAGCAATAAAATAAATAAATTATGCCTATTTTGACTCAAGGTAGGCGTATGTTCTCAGTGACTGTTCTTTGATAAATATTATTGAATCAATAAATAATACTATATTTTTTGTAAACAATGCATATTTTAAGAACACTATGATTATTGAGACAAAATGAAAAAAGTCCATTTATAAAATTCTTTTATATTTTCAATATTTTACAACCGTTCCTGATCCGTGTTGCAACTGTCCCCAGGGGATGAGGTCAGTTGCAATATCTGAATTCTTCCATTCAAATAAATATTGTGAATGATACGTCATATGTAATTATCTTTGAGTGGCATGGGTAAATAGCAGACAGATGTAAGTTTATTATATAAAAGTTTGATTGGTCCAGTCAAAATAGTTTCTGAGTAACTGAGAGAAATGCAAAAAGTGTTGCAAACGTCCCCAGTATCAAGTGCAATTTTGAGGTACTTCTTCTGTACTTGAGTATTTCCATTTTTTAAACTTTATATTTCTGCTCCACCACCTGTCTGAGGGAAATATTGTACTTTTTACTGTACCACATTTATCTGATATCTGTAGCAGCTACTATCATCACCTTATCATCTTATAAAATATGATCACCCAACATTATGTAAAAGTAGTTTCAAGCTGCAACAATAAAAGCTTACATGTTTATCAATGTTTATCAATAATATTAATCAAATATCAAAATATGCAGTAAAACATAGACAGGGGGCTCAGCCAGCTGCATAATTTGTACTTTTTCTAAACGTTACACCTGGGCTAGACAGTCATTTTTTTATGTCAATGGGCAAAACTTCCATAATCACCTTTCATCATATTGTATTTCAAGTGGTTTAAAGTCTGTTTCCTGACTTTAGAAAGTAATTCCTGTGACAGGAGACTTTGGCCAATCACAGGTCTTTTCAGAGAGAGAGAGAGAGAGAGAGAGCATTCCTATTGGCTGTTCTACAAATACAGATGCATGTGTATGTCCCTTTAGATGGACATGTGTCAGCATCAGTGAAGTGTTTCAGAGATGGAGAGAAGTTGTTGATCTACAACAACGACAAGTAACAAGCTGCTAACTTCATTTTCCTGTGGTATTTAACTGTGTTGTAGTGGTTGGTTGTGTAGGCAGATTTATCATGAAAGCAAGCGATTCTTGGCTGTGTTGAATGTTGCTAATAGATTAGCCTTCTGCTAACTATAGCCAAAGGCTCATGGCCGCAGCTGTGCTGCTTGTGTTGCGTGTGTGTACGAACACACAGGAAACGTGTTCTTTTTTTCTAGATTTCTGCCTCCCCCAAGTTTAAGTGCATTCAGTGCAATTTACCAATAAAACTCCTTTACTTTTACTTATGTAAAAATTGAATGCAGAACATTTCCTCTCTTTTCACAGTGCCTCTGTTCTTTTTTGGAGTGATCATATTTTGCCATCTATAATGGAGTATTTGCAAACATTGTAGAAGTGCTGCTTTCACTTCAGTAAAAGACCTGAAGATTTCAGGAATCAGATTATTGTTTAAGTCATGAAATTTGAGGAACTTTACTAATGGGTCAACTTGGTATATGTACAATGTTTTATAATGAGTAGTAACAAATTAACTGCATCTCTATCATGGCTGTGAGCAGTTCTCATGAGCCCTGCTGTGCAAACCTGTCTGATTGTCTTTTACAATGTTGCAACCAAGAACAGACAAAAATATTGTCAGGCGATGGAAGTTCTTCATGTACAATCATACTTGTCCATCGTATAAGGGTCTTGTTAAAGGGAAACAAGCATTAAGGACCCGCTAATGTCGTACTCACCCTGATGTGCTCAAACAGTCGGTCAGTGAGCACCTTGACTGACTGGTTGACGATCCTGTCCAGGGAGGAGTTGGCCCTCGGCCCTGACTCCTCGCTGCCCTGTGGGTCACACTGCCTGCAGCGCTCCACAAAGGATCTAGAGGACACAGAGGAGATGGAGTTCCACTTTCAGCAAATTCCTGCAAAGCTTCCTCCAAAAAACAAAAAATAAAAAGGAAAGACTGACAATGTTCAGCATAATTGTTTGCTTACCTGAGAGGGGGGCAGCAGTTGACCAGAGCTATGGTCCTGGAAACATATCCGTCCCCTCGGTCTCCGAATTCTGCCTGAGTCTCATGAAACATCTCCACCTTCCTCTGGAAACTGAACATGTGGAGGTTTTATGAGAACCTACTGAATACTAATATAATATAATAAAAATATCGGGGCTCGTCTGAAAAGCATTTTTTTTTCCATATAGAGACAAATATTCCAACATCAGTATTACTCTCCTTTATACCTGCTGTAGTGTATTTTGTTTTTGCCAACTGCAAATCAGAATTAAAACTTTCACAAAGTTTGGTTGTAACCCAACTTTCCCTGACTTTATTCCTCTGTGGTAGCATGTACTCACTTATAGAGAAAGTCAGCCAGTCCTGTGAGACTACAGCGAGCCACTCTTGCCCCTAGAAACTGGTTCACAGATGTGGATCTGTCCAAATCCACCTTTAGCCTCTGGAGTTGGCAAAAGATGTGAGTGATGAGAAAACAGTATCTTAGAGAAATTTTCAAAAAATCACTTTAAAGTCTATTTCTGAGATTTCTTTTCACAGTAAAAGTGATGAGTGACAGTGTACCTGGATGACAGAACGTGCCAGGTGTGACTGATACTCCTCAATGTGCAGAGACTGGGCCCATCGCCTCTCCTCTTCATCCAGAACCTGCATAAGCTCTGTTGTCACCTTCTCCTGGAAATCACAGCAAAAAATTTAAATGTGTCTCCCATCCAGATTTTCTAAGAATCAGACATGCAAAAGTAAAATTTCTTACCCTGACAATACTGATGCAGTCTTGTTCCAGCCTGTCCACGGTGTCTTGCGGCAGAATGGCTTCCAGAGGGGAGTAGTTGATAGGTGATGTTGTGCCAATGGTTCCTAGAACATCCCTGGTGGAAATGATGAATCGTTACTGAACCGGTTCAGCTTTCAGATTCGTAATAGAAGATTGATAAGTCATTATTACATTGGAGTTCCCAGGTTCACAGTCTATAAGGCGCCCTACCTGTTATAGATGTTGTAGAACCAGTCCAGTAGTGAGTAGACGTCTGTGATCTGCAGCGGGCCGCTGGTAATAGTCCGCAGACGTTTGGCCACGGCTCGATGGTAACTTTCCACATACACCTGGAAGGCAGCAAACTCCTCTGGGTAAATGGATACAGCATTCCTCCGTGCTGCATCAAGGTCATCCACCATCCGGCTCCTCAGGCGCTCCAGGTATGAGGCCAGCTGGCCTGCCTGGGTATCCACCTGATGTGGCAGGCTCCAGTCTGCGGCCTCCGCCACAGCCTGCCTCCACTTCATCTTCAGTCGACGGGGACGATGGCTGGGCTGGACCTGCGGGCCCTCTCGCTCTGGCTTGGTCTCCTCTCTCAGGGCCCAGGCAGCATCAGCATGCTCCTCCTGTTGGATCACCAGCACCACCAGCCCGAGGTTGGGACCGGCGCTGGGCTGACGGAGGGACTCCCGCACTACATCCCACATTTCCTTCTGCAGCGCCTCATACAGGAGCTCCACATCCTTAGCCTTCCGCCGGCTCGAGTCCAGAGTTGCGTTGGAGCTGAGGGAGTCATCGATGGACGAGGATGATAATGGGATCATGGCGGGAGGGGTGCTGGGACAGAGCGTAGGGGTAAGGGTGGGAGTTGTCGGGGTAGGCAGGAGAGACAGAAGCTCACACTCCCGCTCCAACTCCTGAATGTGTGTGTCGGCCAGGAGGAGGTCCCTGTGGTTGACCAGCTGTAGGATCTCCAGTACTGTGGGGATCAGGAAGAGAAAAAGAAGTTTTATGTTTATTTGCAACATTCATAAAACGGAGAGATGACCAAGCGTCTGTTTTTATGATTACTAGCTGTGCGTGTGTCTGACTGACAGATTGGCTTATTTGTTGCTCATTCTGCACACTTCTATTCCGAGCGAGGTTCCCTGCGGAGTCTGTGAACAGTAGCTTGGTTGAATATCTATCTAGAGGAACCTGGGGTAGGAGGATGTGTGCTCATTTCCTGATTTCACAGTCCACTGGTGATTGAACCCAGTGACTCAGGGATCTGGGGACCTCTCAGCCTCATCAGAGAGTTGACTAGTACTGCGAGGACGTATACAGCTGAAACTTGACCAGTAAGAGAAAAGTTCTCCATCATAAGAGAGACTACTCCTAAAAGAAAGACTCCTCTAGGTCACTTGATACTTAAATATAAGTTTGTGATCAGGATCTAGATGTTTTTACACCTCGATTTTTACCTGAGAGTGGCTCTCTAGTTTTGACCACCGGCTCCTCCTCCACTGTTTCCTCCTCAGCCTCTTGGGAGGCCTTGTCTGACATGGATTCCCTCTTCAGCTTGCCCAGATTGACCATCCTGAGGAAGGAGGGCCGTCTGGAAGCCTCCACCTCATTGCCTGCGCTCAGGTCCCCACAGGGCAGGCTTTCTCTGCGCTCCTCCTTACGTCGACCTGTGAAACTGCACAACATCCAAAGCGGCAACAAAGAACATGAACAAGTTTGAATAAGAAGATAAAAAACTTATACATACACATATATAGGCATATATGAATGGGAAAGACATACAGTATATGAGACTTGAGGTTTGTGTTGTACTGTTTTGTGTGACCAGTAGCAGCTATAGCTGGAATGCTACAAATTCACACATCTGCTAAACAGTGCTGCTGCTGAGCATTATGGCCTCAGTTAAAAATAGATCCATTCACTTAGCACAGCCAGTACACAACATGTCACAGAAAAACAAAAGAGGTTCCATAGATCAACAAGTTGCTATGGCATATTACATAACTCCTCAGGAAATAAGCACACGATATGCTGTACTGTTACTGACCGGCAAATGTAGCAAGCGGTTTGCCCTTTCTCACCCTCTGGGACTCAGGGAACCACGCTCTTAGGCCTCAGCTGTTCAGAAATGGATTGTCTGATTTCTAACAGTTTTCTTTGAAAGTTATGTAACTGTATTTTTTTTTTTTACCATATTTTTTGTAGGGAATCCTTTTGATTTTATTTGACATTAACATTAGGGGATGTTTTTTTTTCTTTATCTTGCTGTTAATTCCTGAAAATGTGCTTCTGTAAGTATCAATAGTTAAGTTAATAGATAAATGTTTTATCTGTGTTACATAATTTCATTTTGTTTCATTTGATGGATGCATTGTTGCAGAGCATTTCTTTCTATTGCACCATTCTTCTATAAATATGTAAAAATGCTTTTAATTTTTTTCTTTTTCCCTTTTTGAACAAAAAAAAAAAAGTGGTTCTTTGGGTTTATACAATATATACTGTACAATAATTCATTTTTTTTCCTTCTGTTAGAAATCAAAACAACAGCTAGAATCAGATTTCAAGATTGCATCTCCTTCCTCCCCACCCCTCCTCACCGGAGCAGGGTCATAATTCCCTCTGAGCTTCTGCGTAGTCCTTTCCTTTTCTCCCTCTCTGGGGGGAGTGTGTTTGAGTCTCCAGGGCTGTAGTGGGGAGAGTTGTTCCCCCATACGTTGCGTCCCGATATGCGAAGCCCCTTCCCCAGTTTTCCAAGGGTTTTGAGGGGCGACACTCCACAGATCCGTTCCAGGGTCCCTCTGAGGGGTTTCCCTTTAGGGTTCCCCGCCCCGTGCCTCTCTGCGTTCACCTCATTTTCCTCCTCTTCTCCATCACGGGACGACCTGAGCTGGAGGTTACCCCTGACCGTCCCCATGATGAGGCCCACATCACCACCGTTCCTCTCGTCCTCGTCCAGGTCTACATCGTCAAAGGGGTTCAGACTCTTGTTCAGATCCTTGAGGTCATTGAGTTCCTTCAGATCATTTAGATCGTTCAAGTCCCTGAGGTCCAGGTCCAGCCGGGGCAGGATCAGTTCCCCGTTGACTCTGGGGAACTCGTGGCAGCTCTTGGACCTTCCCGGGAGTTTCTTCAGAATGGGCATGGTTGCAATTTAGATTTAGAAAACAACTGCAAAACAAGAAGAATGTGTAAGAGTTTGTCAAAGTGTTCAAGAAATCAACAATCTTAGAAAGGTCTGATTATAAGATTGACGTTAGAATGAATTACTTTTTTTGACATTTACTCAAACACTGTCTGGTGCTTTATTCAGACTGAGGTAAAACACAACTCACAGGTCTGCTGTGAGAATTGCTAACCAGGACATGTTGAAAAATACATGATAAATCTCTATAACCATGACTCTGTCCTTTCAGGGCATACAGGAAGTTGGCAATGTGTGACTGAAAATTGAACCTATGAAATGTGGAAAACAATTTTTCTTTTTTTTTCTGGTGGTAAATCAGCGACCAGACAGTTTATATAACCAGAATCAAAAACATCCTCTCACATGCTGGTTATGTAATGCACTTCACTAAGCAAATAGGAAATATGTTTTCAAAATATTGCTGCATTTTTATGTGCTCCACTGCAGACTTGAATAAATATTACACCATTCAGAAACAAATAATTGTGTGTGGAGTGGGTCAAGAGAGGCTGACCTGCAGCTGGATGAGAGAAACCAACATGTGAGTGACAGCAGAGTGATATATATATTATATAAATATATATATAAGATTCACACTTTTATACAGTTTTCTGATCATCCATCTCTTTGATTTTTAACATGACCTGGACGTTTTATTGTAAGTTCCTTAATTTGAATGTAAGGTCCAGGTTCAGAGGTTTATTTTTTTGTCTGCTGATCATTTGGAGATTTGGTCTAATATTAAAATCATATGAGTGATTTTGTCATAATTATAACTGTAGCTTAGTGTAAAGCACAGCTAAATACTGTCATATACACAAAAAACCTTGTCCACCCAGATATAATGTTTGAGAATTGGCAGTTTTATTATTTCTTTTAGAATAGACAGTGTATCTGAAAAAGCTTCCTAGTTAAATAATAAACAAAAAGGTTAATTAATTAATCATTTGTAAGAACTAAGGTGCCAAAATATAGGAATGTTCATTTCTTAATTGAACCTCCTGTTGTTTTCAATATAATGCCATTATCCAGTTACATTGAAATGATGTTGTTGTTAACAACTTACTATGACTTACTTTACTGTAACTGGGTTTATACTCTGCTGAAGTATCAGGGGGAGCTGATTCATACTTTCCACTATGTCCTGAGCCAGTTTTCTGTTCTGGAGTTGAGTCTGACAACATCAAGGAAAGGTTCAAATCTACAGCCCTGGTTCCGGTGAAACTGACAGACAGCTTCAGCAGTAAGACAAATTCCATTCAGACTTACTTTTGAAATTCCATCTTATTGTCACTGTCCTTCCTGTTCAGATTAGCACGGAAACACAGTCAGAGGAAACGCAAAGAGGGATTTTTATAATAAAAAAGACTGTAACCTTGGATGACAGCCAATTTATTTGGATTGTCAGACTGTTGAAGCCTCATGAGCTTTACCTTGACTTTCGAATGCATTTTTGCACCAGGGTTGTGGATTTTATCTCTTCTGATGAAATCTTATTAGAAAGGGATCTTTTCACAGCCAGCATAGAGAAGCAGAACAATTACAGCAATTAAAAACTGTTTCAGTGTACACATGGGCCTGTGAGTATTGTTTTAAGAAAGACTTCAGTGTGAATCCGTCCTTTAGCACAGTTTGACATACTCTATGTCATCATAGTCATCACCAGAAGAAGAAGCGTTTTGAAAGAAGAAAAACCCAAAAGTGTTTAAAACCCCTGTATTCAAACATTTTTTCCTTTTTCACACACAATATTCATAACATATATAGCTTCAATGTATTTTGGAAATAATGAGTGCATATATTTATATTTAAATAACTTTAGTGCCTTGTTGAAAAATGTTAATTTTATCATTTACAGAGTCGGATGTAAACATATTGATATTGAATTTAAGCCCTTTTTGCACCATTCACACCCGTTTTCTCAGTCCAGTGCTCCTCTCTCAGCACTGTAGTGTTACATGCACAAGAAGCTCAGTGTTGTAACCAAAGTCATCTGCAGATTTTTTCAGTGGATTTAAAATGACAATCAGATCAACAAGCTGAAATCATGGTAACAATCAATGTGTTGGAGAGACTGGTCTAAACTGTAAGGCTGAAACTGACGCTCGTCATCACACGGGATCATAAAAGCTGGTCTTTTCTTAAAGGAACTTTGGTGTGAAGCAGATTTCTAATGTATAAAGTCCATAATGGTGGTACTTTCTACAACTCGGTTTAAAATGATAATTATTAAGTGTGAAGCATCTATGAAATCTAACAAAGAGGATCTCTTACATTACACAGTGCTGCATGTGGGTAAAGAAAGCATAAACTCATATTAACCATTTTTTCATCTTACATGCTATTGGTTTTTGTATGCCTGTGTAATTCTATTTTTCTTTAAATGTCTTAACTTGTTCTTCAAACCTTGTGCGTGGTGCTGAAGCAACTTGATAACCTTTGATAAGCTAAGCCTTTCTACTGTTTATCAGCCTCTCACAAGAGTGGAGGACAGGAAAACACTTGGCTGCAAATGGCTTTGAAGGAGTTTACGACTTTGAAGCAAAACATTTTCTTGAGAGAACAATAGGTGATATACAGATGGCAGACATCACTAAAGGGTCTTCATCAGCATTTCTAACAAGTCAGCCCTCAGTAAGGTCAGATACGGTCTGAAGTCAAACCAGGAGTGGTGAGAATCTCACTAAACTGTGAGTTTTCAAATGTGTTACAAGATCAGTCACTGCACAACACAAACAACAGGTTTTTACAAACTCTTTCAGTGAAAATAACCGATGTCAAGTACACAACAAATGGATGGGCACCGATTATTGATTGTGTAGCAATTAGAAAAACAATGTCCAAATACAATAACCTCAGCAGAGAAACACAATAACATGAACACTGTTATCTGTCAGGTTAACTACAGCAAGCATAAAGGAACAAAATCAGCTCCCTCACTAGAAACACAAGAGAATGAAAACATCCTGAATCCAAACTTAAACACTGTCTGCGAGTGCAGAGGATGAGACTTACCTGATGAGATTGCCTTGCAGTGTTTTAGCACAATGTCATCCTGGAGTGTGCTGGCTGTGCGGGCTGCCAGGCTGTGAAGTGTGTGCATGTGTGTGTGTGACTGATGAGTGTGAGAGCGTGTCTGAAAGTACTCGGCGACTCAAGAGAGCAATGTGGCTGCCTGTGGTTTCCTGACGGGCTCTATTGTGGTGGAAGGTGATATGTTTTCCTGAGGAAAGGCCCGTCCCGTCCTTTCTCCCCCTCCTACGCCACTGACCCTCCGCCCCCCACCCCCCTCCCCGTCCCTCCGTCCCCAACACCCCCACACCCGCACCCCAGGGACCTTTCTAATTACACCAATTGCATTAACTGTACAGTGAAGGAAGATGGAGTTGGACGGAGCGCTCCCCTGCAGTGTTTTATGTTTTTATCTGCTCTACACACTGTGTTTGCGGTCATGTGTGTTTGTGCGTGCGTGTGCATCGTGCCCTGACTGAGTCCTATTAGAGGTAGATAATGAACTTGAGGATGATTCAGTGTCAATGGCCTTGAGTCCAAATTCCATTCATACACCATCTGCAGTGTAGTTTTCCTCAGCGGAAGACTTAAGAGTGGATAGACCTGAACTATAGTGGCACTCAACACCGCTGCTGCCGCATTGCTTTTGGTTGAATGCAGTACTCCGAGGTCACTAAAGCCATGGCATAGCTAAGGTTGAGGGATATATGAGAGGAGCGTGTGCATGTGCGTGTGCGTGGGCGTGTGTGTGCGTGCATATGGCTCTGATTTGTTTTGTTTAACTTAAAATTAAATAACCAAGCGAAATAAAATGGTAAGATAAGACACCCCATGTTAAACAAACAAAACAATGTAGTCACTGTGGCTCCCTGCTGCCACCCAGTGGACAGTCTGGGACAGGACAAGAGGTACAGTCCCACTCCAGGACACCTGACTGTACAATGGAGTGGACCAGTTAATCAGTTAACTCATTAATCATCTCACCGATCTGTCATCTGTGTTGTGATTTTTGTGCTCTGCACCGGATATATATAGTTACCAGTCTATAAGTCACACCTATAATGAGGCTTAAAGTTCAGTCAGGAAGACCAGCGCCTTGGCTTCTGAGTCACAAGCTCTTTCCCGCCATCTCTAAACTCCACCAGCTCGGTCTCGTCTTCATCCAATCACTTGTGTTCCTTCTCTCTGCTGTCTTTCAGCACTGTGTAGATTTCACCACCTCACCTGTGGATGCCTGACTGAAATGTCCCTCTCACGAAGACGTTCCCATCCTCATCACCCCCACCAGTGTCGGGCAACTTGAGTGTCTACTATTTATATTAAGACATAAAGGGAAGGGGAAATTGAGATATACTACTGTATATTGCATTACTAATTTAACCAAATACCACAGGGATGTGGATAAGTCATGTACAGCAGCAGCCACCTTGCTCCAAGTGACAGCTAATCCATGGCAGTAAAGGTCTGAGAGCTCCAGTGGAATCATATTGAGAACAGAAAGAGGACTGAGGCCCCATCAGAGGGGAAAACACCCTAATGTTGTGTCTTTTCTAACTTTCTCTGTGAGTGATCATTTTACAATGTCGTGGTTAGAAAATCAGGATTGTAGCAGCAGCAAAGCAGCAGCTTTAAAGTGATTCCATGTTTCAGTCACTATTTCTGACTCTTTCCGTCGTCTGACAACAGAAACAGCAAAACATCTCAATAGGAACAGTTCAGGAACATGTGACTTCAGCATGTATCCAAATACTGTATATATGAGCACAGAGAGGAGGAGAGAAGCAAACAGATAAAGAGCTGAAACCAGCTGATAGACTGAATGATAATACGACGCAGTCCAGCCAGATTCCAGGTTTTGTCTTGGTCTTGTTTACTTACTTTCATTCCTGTTAGTGAATCCTGATAGAAATATCCAATCTAATCTTTGCTGCTCAGAGTAACATTTTGGACTGAACTGTGTCTAGTACTAACAATGACGTTATTTTATTCTTCTTCTTAGAATTAAAAATAAGGGCAACCCTTTAATTTACAAGCCATTTCATGGTAATTATGTAATAATGTGAAGAAATTACCAAGAAATAACAGTGAAATCAGTATGACAAGTTGTATAATTACTGCACAGGTTTTCTGAGTCCACGGGCAGTGAGTATTAATTCACATACATTTTACAGGCCCTCCACAGATGAGTATCACTTCAAATATTTACGTCTTTACACTTTACGTATTTATATGTCTTTAACTCATCTACGTTTATATGAACAATATCCCAAATAGCATATATTGATACTGTCAACAAGACTGTGGGGGAAATGTGTAAATGTTCTCTATGCATGCTTGAGTAGTGAAGCACATACATATTTAGTTTAGTTTAATATTTCTTTTTGCATTTTCATTTTTTTTTTACATACATACTATTTTGGAATGGACACTACTATCTACTATAGTAGACCACAAGGATGTATACCATTGACCCATGTTCCACTTGGTGATAAGATTCAAAACAAATACCTTCAAGTTCGACAGAATCCAATTCAGCATGACTAACGGGAGACTCAAGAGTAATCATGTACATGATTTTTGTCTAATCGGTTGTACTGGATGACATGGATTTTATAGGTGTTCCTAATAAGGTGGTATTTCTGGTATATTTACAATTTACATAATCTACATGTAGAAGTGGAGAGAATGTAGCACATGAAACACACAGAGTGAAAGAAACTGTTTTATTAACAATTCTTGCCTTAATGAATGTATTGACAAAACTGAAAATGTAGTAACAGCACAACTCATAAAGAGAAGGGGAGAACGACAGGGAAATATCATTAAAAAACTACAGTGTAAGCATTGCAACAGGATCACTGCCAGTGTTTAATTTTACCTGTATTTTGGATCTGTGTCCATTTCCTGTACACATGACAATAAATAACTAAAACATAATTTAACAGATGTTAAAGAAGTCATGTGTGCATCTAAGCTAGCATTTTGTGTGTTTACTGTGCTGGTGGGACATACTGTAAGTGTCAGTGTTAAATTTAGACGGTGGTGTAAAATCAGTGTGTGGTGTTGAATATGTACCAGGATGTGCTGTATATTTTTTTTTTGTCCTATTTTCCTCAGATACTCCATCAGTTAGAGCCACAAACTGCTGCGTCCAACAACATGTACATGGAGAGAGTGATGATAACAGTAGGTGCAAGATGGTGTATAATTATTCCAGTCAAGGAAAAAGTTTTTGTGCTGCAAATGAATCCTGTTTTGTTGGGGGGGATACTGTGAGTGGAGAAATGGATAATTAATTTATAGAAAAAGTATTCTTACCCAATTATACATGAGAAATGTCAGAAATAAATGCTTAAAAGCAAAGTTTGACAGTTTGGTAAATATGCTTATTTGCTTTGCTTGCTTGCTAGACGAGAAGATTGATGCCATTCTAATATCTGCCCAGTAAATATAAGGCTATAGGCAGCATACAGTAAGCTTAGCATAAACAGCTAGCCTGCCTCTGTCAAAAGGTAGCAAAATTCACCTATCAGGACCTCTAACTTCACTAATTAACATATGATATCTTGTTTGTTTAATCCTCTCAAAAACCAAAGTGTAAAAACAACAAGATGTGGTTTTAAAGGGATTAATGTGCTGGACTGTTGCTGGACTGAGCAGTAACCCTCTGGAGTCTGACCAGCGGAGACGTCAACAAGATGTGAATGTGTCACACGTTACCTGCATTCGCATGCGTGTGCATAAGGGGTATCTACACGTAAAAACGTTGCTTCGTAGTGCTACTACTGGTGAAAAACACCACAGGGAACCTTTAAGAAACAGATACGAGAGTGTTGTCGATCTTCTCATCTGTGTGTGTGTCTACACTGGTTGAGGGGGGGGGGGGGGGGGGGGGGGGGGGGGCTGTCAGAGGGCCTGGTTATGGTCTCGAGTGTGGTGGAGGTGGTGCTGTGGGTTGTTGAAGTGGTAGGGCTCGTGGCGGTAGTGGCTGTGACAGATGACAGGATGCTCAATGCCTTCGCTCTGCAGCTCGTCCTGCTTGGGAACTCCCTCCAGCTTCTCCACCAGCTGTCTGATGAAGTCCTGTGGAAGAGCCGGTGTCACATGGAGCAGAAAGGAAACAGAATTTAACATTTGTCAGTACAACCATGGTTGTTATTTGACCGTGTTTCAGGCACTCATGTACGTGTATTTTCAATGCATTTCATGATTCCCACTTGCTCATCAAATATCCATGATGAACTTGACATTTAGCAGATACAGTATGTAGACATTAAAGGAGAGGTTTAGTGATATTATATATGTTTCATATTATCAATAAAACAATATGAAAAGACCAAAACCAACAATGAATGTAACCTCCGAGGCTTGTCTGTGTATCTACAGCCTGAAATAACCTTAATCTTATTCCTCTGTCCCATAGAGCTCCATTGTCGTCCAAACACGTATCAGTAAGCCTCATTGTTGCACTGGGTGACATGTTCCTTCATTACCATAAATGCACACACCAGTTGATTTCAAGTTGTTCTCACATACACTATCCTGCTGCTAGAAAAACTCACCACAGCACCAAATGTGGATTAATCTGCATCTGAAAATAGTCCCCTCAAAATCCACTATTTACTCCTGTTTGAGTAATAATTACTAAAATGTCCAGCTAGTTTTAGGAAATTATTTAGAAAGAGAGAAAGATAGAAACTATAATTCTGTGAGCTTTTTATTTTAGATTTTTGTGTCTTCATTAGGAATCAACAGGCTGGGCAGTGACGGTCATAGGCAGGTTACAGGAATGAAAAAGCACTGAGAGACGGACAAACACTGCTTTTTTCTTGATATTAAGAATATGCTATTTCCAGCCTTATTCTTTAATTCAGTCTTTTAGCTGTAATGGCCGGTGATGCCTTTTTCGTTCTACACCACCAAACACAACTAAACACATCTGCAAAGTGTTCTCTTCAGCACTAGCTTCAATTGATCATTTTTCTGATTTCATCTCAGACCGTTTGTCTTAAACCTGGTAAAATACTGTAGATCGCCAGTTTATAAATCAAAATTTAGGATAAAAAGAGAAACTATAAGATGCATGTAAGGTGATGTTTAGCTGTTGTTCTGGACCTATACTATACAAAGTATATTTGTGGAATACATGAATGCAGAATTTAGGCCATTAAACACAAGTGGGAAAGAAAATATGGGAAGCATCTCAGTTTTGTAGTAGCTGATACTTTATATGGAAACATCTGGAAGCATCTGGCCGCTGACTGTAAACCTCGTGTCACTCTTGTCTGTACCATTAATAAAACTACTATGACCTACTAACTATACAATATCCATAGAGCTGTTATCAGAACATTAAAAAAAAAGAGCAAGTATCAGTTACATGACAGAAATAAATATAGTGTGTAGTCATTTCCCACCCCTCTTTGTTTGAGTATTTTGAATGCTCTTATGTCCATAGATGGAAGAAGGCATTGGAGAGAAGCTGGGTCTCAAGAGGTCGAACTCAAGGCCCAGTAGAGGAAGTTCCCACTATGTGTGAATGTGTTGCCAATGATTACTAACAACCACTGTCAAAATAGGTTACTACAAATGCTAAAAATAAAATGGGTCAGCAGTGTGCGACAACACTTTCTATACATGACATTTAGTTCAGCTCTATCACTGCTTCCTTTTTGACAGTGTTGAGATTTTACAGATGAGATACACAGTGTTATGGCAACAGTGCATGAAGAGGTAGGCAAAACAACCACCCTCAGTCTTTAATAAATACTGACTGTTAGCATTTGTTTGACTCTGGTTCCATGTGTTTTATGTTTTCCTTTTATAGACAATGATCAGCAGTCGTAAAAATACATCTCGTCTTGGCAGCGTCTGTTCATGTTGAGGCTATTTCACTGCTCATGTTGAGCATGATGTGACGTATTTCCTCGAAACTTTTTTTTAGTTGGAAGTAGCTCTTAAAGTCTGTCTTAAAAAACAATATTCATATGCCCATATGAACAATGAACCAGGTTTTGAATAAAAATCCACAGTCCACATTCTGGGCAAAAATACAATCCAAAGTTTATCTGAACATAAAATAACGCTGCAGCAGTTTGAAACTCTTCTTTGGAAGATACCCACTTACCTCAGATTACTGAAGCCTCATATTAACTTCAGATAAAGTTTGGAATTCCTTTTTGCACAGAACAAAGGCTGTGGACTTGGTAAGCATAATTGCCAGCGGAGGTATGTGAAGAAGGAATATTTTAATGTCCAGTATGAACAGGAGGAATAATTACACGTACTGTTTTAAGACCGACTTAGTCTATCCTTTAATGACGCACCATATCAGGGTATAAAAAAAACTAAGTGTGAGTAAGAGCAGCAGCAGCTACACTGGCTCTCCCTGCTCTTTCGCCTGTGTTTGCATCTCTGAGCGAGCAACAGCGTCCAGAAAGACTCATTGTTTGAGCATTAAAATGGAAAGGAAAAGGCAAGAGAGCACAAAAAGCCTTTGTTGAGGCACGTGGACACTGTGGGACGAGGTGTCAGGTGCTGCAGCTTCAATTTAGGTCTGTGTGTGTGTGTGTGTATGCATGCAGGTATACATTTCCATATGTAATGTGTGTGTAATCATGAATAATCTTGGGTTAGAAATGTAATTTCCAAGTTAAAACATACCTCTGTGTTTTTACTGCACTTTCGAAGAAGCTCCTGTTCAAAAAAGCAGATAATGTTGTAACAAACCAGCCGCACAATCACATATTTATCATCAGTATTCTACCATGAACAATAAAATAGAAAAAATATTAACTCTTCCAAACATGTTTGAGTGAGTCTCTGAACAAAATCTGCCCATAATGACTGTGATTGATGATAAATCCTACATGATCAGCACCCTCTTATACAGTTTGAATGATGGGGTCACACAGTTCATGTTACCTGTAACTTTTTGACCCTCTGGTCAACGTTAGGCAGGTCAATCAAGTCATCAATGTTCACCTCCTCTGGCATGTCAGCCTCCTGAAATAAAAACACGACGAACACACGCACGGTCTTAATGAGTCATCACACAAGACGGGCAACTCTCTTATCTATCTATCTATCTATCTATCTATCTATCTATCTATCTATCTATCTATCTATCTATCTATCTATCTATCCTTTATATTCCCATGTATTCCCAAACTGCACTGAGGCTTACAGCACATCACACTTATATAGTGACTGAAATATTTATACCTACAGGATAGGGCTGTACAATTAATTGAAATATAATTGAAATCCCAATACGGCCAAGTAAAATATCCAAATCGCAGGAGCTGCAATTTTTTTTTTTGATAAAGGTAGAATGTCTCACATTGTTGTGCGTTGTTAGCACCATAAGCGTTTTGGTGCCACAGATTTCCCCCCAGCCTACAAATCATATCCTCCAGACCTAAAGGAACATGTTTGTTTGGTACAAAACACCAAACAAAAATCACATCATCATCATCATTTCTAAGTTTTTTTTCAGAATGCAACCGTTTTGAATGCAACCGAGATCGCAATATCTGCCAATATAATTGCAATGCCATTTTTTTTTTGCATATCGTGCAGCTACTACAGGTTTATTTTTATTGCTGTATCAATGCATGAAATGAGAAATCAAGGATGCTTTGTGCATCAGATATGTTTTCCAGTATATTTCAGCATATTCAAAGGAACAATTCAAGCAAATATTACAGGGGAACTCCTCGGATTTTACACATCAAAGGTTGCAGGTTTTGGCCTCAGATGGAGCTGTGTGAAGTCTGATAAATGTCCTCAGTTAATGTCACTTGATATATTCACTGCTGCTAGCATAGCACACCTGAATCTCAAACCAAACTGTTGGTGGTGGAGTTGTATTGTGGGTAATACAGGCACCAGGTTTTGACACTTTTACACATAATCATCTTATCCAGGGTTCATATAAAAACATGAATCACTCAGTCATGCATGCAGTTACCTCTAGGAAACCTTAAGACGCTTGTGCAGATGACAAAAAAAAAAAGTTGCACAAGGAGAAATTCTTCATGTGTGACATAACCAACCTGTGGACCCAGATTAGATAAAGTTTACCAATATCTCCAAAATCATATTTTCAGTTTTTAAGGTCAACTGAAGAGTTTGGATTCAGTCCACACCCACTGCATATCCATTTGTATGTTCAGGCTCTGGTAGCTGAATAGCAACAATGTTCACAGCTTACAGTAACAGGGGCCTGCTATGTGTGAACAAACAACCATTGTTACAGCTGAGTGAAGGGGCAGCCCCACCCGCCCATCCACACCACTGCACTGCTCTGCTTGTGTAATTAGTCGGGGACGTTGGCACATACAAGACTTCAGCTCTGCAGCTTCATCACCAAACTCTGATCCTCACAGACACGTCCTCAACTGAAAAAGTGACGAGAATTTGTGCCACAAAATGATACTTGTCTGAGTTATGTAATCATCATAGGCTGTTTTACAACAAGAACTCTGGTCAGTTTACTTCTTTATTATTACATAAAATTACTGTTTTGGGCTCATGTGAAAACGCCAGTGCCTTTAGGCAAAAGCTCTCTTTGTAGGCTGGGCCGGTTTGTCATTGTGAATATAGGGTTTCTGTTTTCTTATAATCAACATACTCTGCTTTCACAACACCATCCTACACTTTAAGTATAAAAATGCAGCCCCTCCCCCGAGAAATCCTAATCTCGTATCAACTGCCTCAGCAGTCAGATGCACAGTGTCAACCTCCTCCAGGGACAAACAGCACTTTCCCTCCAACCTTTTCCTCTTCCTTTTTCTCATCGTTTACCCTTGTCTCAGTTCCACCCTGCCCATGTAAGGCAGAAACCCCCAAGACAGATACAGGTCTCTGAGAAGAGGACAGCGCTGGACTGCACATCTGCAGAAGGCTTGGCCTTGTAAGGAGAACCAGGCTGCCCCACCTCTCCCCTCCACTTAACACCTCATACATTATAGGAGGCCTGGAGCCCATTTTCAAGAATATGAAGCAATCCCAGTGAGCCTTTATATCACAGTCTTGTCCAAATACTACTTTCATTTCATGTTTAAAACTCTCTGCCCCATTTTCTTTTAAACATCTTACTGCAGGGAGGGTGCATCTTTAAAAATCTACACAACTTTTTAAAGCTGTGTGTAAACTACAGTATTAAAATACAGACCAGCCAAAACTGTTTCTTTCTCTTTCTGTTTTCGCCCACCTGACCCGAATAGAGCCGGTCCAGGCTCTCCTCGATCCACTTCTCCACGTCCAGCCGCCTCTGCAGCTCCTTCCTGTTGTACTTCACGGTGACACGTACATGTCTCTTCTGGATATTGCACCCGTGATCTGGAGACGACTCCAAATCCGATGAATGGACCTCGTCATTTTTCTCCAGTGTCGTCCCGGTCCGGTGGTGGGCCATTTCTGGTCTGGACTGGTCTGCCTGGTTTGTCGTCTCTTTAAGCGCGGGAGGAGAGAGCAGCGCGGGGAGGCGACGACGGCGCAGACTGCTGGACTCAAGTGGGGTTTTTTTTTTTTCTCTGCTGGCGTTTATTTACAGGCTTTCTATACAAACGCTGCTGTGAATCACTCTATCTTGTAAAATGGATTACATCAAGTCGAACAGCTGATAAAACAAAAACAGCATTTCAATTCTTTTTTTTTTCTGTATCTGACACCACAACTTTCCAATTTGATGTAGCCTATATACAGTTTATACAACTTTGAATCATCATCAGCTTTCATTATTTTATTATTTTTTTACCTAATCTGCAACTTAAAATCGTTTGCATTGGGTTCATCATTTAAACCACAGTTAGTCTAAAAAAGGACAAAATGCATTTTGTAGAGTTCAGAACAGGAAATAGCTCTAATTAAATGAGGTGTGGCAGCTGACTGCTCAGTCAGTTCATTGGTGAGGTTGATTATAGCACAGGCCCACACTGTTTGTTCGATAGGTCAACAGAGCTCTCTTCATCATGTAAACAACTTCATTTCCTCAGAAGCTTTTAACCCTTTTGACTGCGAGAGGAAGGTTCTTGTCTGCTCATGGTGAATGCTTCCTGAAGAGGTAAAATATATCTTTCTTTTCTTTCATCCCAGTTGGGTGTTAGGTATTGATGTTTTTCCCCCTTTTCCTTCTCTTTTTCTTTTATTTTTTTTTTTGGGGGGGGGGGGGGGGGCAGGCAGGCATTCCAGGTTGGTGGTCACCCTCCTCCCAAGACTGCTCCTAGATCCTCAAGGAGGGTGCTAGTTCTTTGAGGGATGTTCGCTGTACCTTCTTTTTTTCCTGTCTTTTTTTTTTTATCCATCTCTTCGGGAAGTTTCCTTACACCACTTTGACTTTGTCAGTGATGACAAATAAATCAATACACATCACGGTACAAAGTTCAGTTTTACTTTTAAGCTCTTTAGCTTGCTTACACACTCATACATGGTCCTGTAAATAATCAACCAATCCCCAGCATTATTAGACCTTGGTCCGAGGATGCTGCATGATCATTGGCTCACTGATGTTGATGAGAGTTACTCATTTATTCCTTAGGTATCGAATGAAAAGACAAGGCATTTTTCAATCCTGATAATATGAGACCAATTTAATCGGTCCATAAAAGTACTGAAGTTTGAAACCCAGCCCTATATCTAACTAATAAAGTCAGCCTTGAGTCACCTTGAGCTGAAATCATTAAGTCCAGACTCACATCAAAGCAAATCTTTTATTCCACATCACAACCACCACACGATGACATTAAATAATATGAATGGAAAATGAAACATAACACAAACTTTGGCATGAAATCAAAATGGCACATGAAAGAGCAATGTGATCAGTAGTATATAAACTATATATATAAATTACAGTGATGGCTGCTTCTGTGTGATAAAGCACATCTTCCACATATCCCTGCTCTGAAGATCTTTGGGATATTTCACACCAGCCGCGCGCAGCCTGGGTACAACATCAAGCATCGGTCTTCATTCAGCATCATATAAATATATCTCTACATTTGTGACAATCAAAGTGAAGCTATAAACACAAGTTTTCAAATAAATAAATAATATAAAGAATAAAAAATGATGGTACGCACAATAAGGATATAATGGCCAAAGGAAGATTGAAAAGCGAAACAAAAATTCTGTGTTTAAAAAAATGAGAAACAATTAAACAAAGTGAACATATTAAAGACAATAACCCAATAAAACATGGTTTTGGGCCAGTTTTCCAAAGGTGGTCAGAGTATTGTGACTTCCTGTATTTGGTTTGTGTTGTAGGTCCTATGAAAAGTGGATCTTGTTATTTGTCTCTTTGGGTCTTAAACGTGGAAGAGCTTTGCCCCATATACTTTTTCAATAATCTTTGTAAATTATCTTCATCACAATAGTTCATTTGTCAATATTTTTTTTTCTTTTGTTTACATTTTAACTGTAAATTATCTCCAGCATGAGCAGAACAGTTTTCAACTCATGAATCCGCTCCTGTCCTCACTGTGCATGAGGAGAGAGGCGCAACAAGTGCTAATGTTCTTCTTCCTCTGTTTGAACGTGGATGTTTCATCTCAGCCCAGCTCCAGAGCCCAGACCGGCTTCGTCCCTCCACATAAAGTCCTGACGCTCGCCTCTGGCCAGGCTGCCCTCCACAGGATTGTGCCTGTACCCGGATCTGCCATCCGGGCACAGGGAGAGGCTGAGGCGAGCCGTGCTGTTGCTGATCTTGAACAGGCCGTTAGGACCGAGGAAGGCTTCTCTCTCACTTCCACCCAGGTTGTTGACCGTCTCCAAGTCGTTATAAACTGCAATGTCGCTCAGCTGCTTCCTCCCTTGCAGTCTCCTCCTTCTCCTCAGGAAGATAATGCCTGCCACCAGAACCAGCACCAGAACCGCCAGAATGCAGGAGATGGTGAGGGTCGCAGAGGAGGGCTGGGAGGACTGGCGCAAAGCTGGTTTGAAACTGGGCTGAAGCGTGAACTCACAACTTGGACCCATGAACCCCTTAGGGCACTGGCATACTGGACCCGTGAAGTGGGTGAAGCAAGTGCCACCATTCTGGCACGGACGGGCACCGCACGCATCTGACCGTACACTGCAGTTCTTGCCGGTGTAGCCCAGGGTGCAGGAGCAGGTGTAGTCATTCACACCATCCTGGCAGGTTCCGGCATTCTGGCAGGGGCTTGAGGCGCAGTCGTCGATGTTGATCTGGCAATTGGCACCGGTGAAGCCGGCCTGACAGCGGCACAAGATGCTCTGGCCGAGATCCAGACACTCTCCACCTGCAGAAGGGAGACACACTCTGTTTAGCACGCAAGGGATCAGGGACAACCATTCAGTTAAAGACAGCGTGTTAATGGGATTATATTTAACACTGTCTTTGTAGTGCTGAGGGTTGGCACACTGTAACAAGTTTCTGTAGTTTTCACAGCATGTAGTTCCTGTAGTTTTCACAGCTTTATAATGAACAAATTCTCACTGTAGAACCTGCATACAACATGTTGCTGTATATCTGCAATGCATCATGCTCAAAATTCATTGGTGGGTGAATTCTACAGTAAATATATTTTTCCTGTGAATCACAATAAAGTAATTTTGAGCGGGACTTTTTTTCAGCAGCAGAAACCATCATTTGTCTTTGGTGGCGGTACATTTTGGTGTCATTTTCAACTCGGATGTTTCATCTCTTCAATCTTCCTAACAGTTACACAAATGATGGTAGTATAACGGATATGCTGGACACCTGCCTTTCTCCACACAACTGTGTTGCAAGGCCTTATGGACAGGATTTCCACACTTTTTTCAGCCTTTGACTTCAGCAAGGTATGTTAACTGTATGTTAATTTAGCACAATTTTCTCATGTTAAGTTACCCGTGTGTGTAACTTTAGGAGCGCAATGGGAGAGAGAGAAGTAGAGAGACACACCTTCCTTAGCTGGTAAGCTACTGTGCACAATATTACTAAAGTAAACTATTTCCGCATGAAACTTGGATAGATTTTGTTATCTGGTGACATATAGTTGATAACACAATTAGTCTGGTGTAGCAGTAAGATAACTGGAAGAAAGTTAAAAGGTGTATGTGTGTGTTGGCGCGCTAGCTAGCTAGCTCCACTCATGAAACTTTGCTTCTTTTGCTACCTTGACTTGAGGTCTCAGTCCCTACTCATGGAACCATAGTAAATCCCAATCCTAAAGTCTCACTAGTTATTTATTCAACCATTTGGCTTATTTCCTTCAGGCTGAGTATTTACCATTCAGTGATACAACAGAAAATATCACCAGCTATTTTCTTACACTGAGTTGCACTAGATTCTGTAGTATAAATGTGCTGATCTTAATAAAATGAAGTTTTACATATGTCATGTGCAACCACCTACTGCACCAGCTGCTGGACATATTACTTCTGTTTATATAGTAGTATTTGAGGGGTGACCTAATAGGTTATCTAATGTTATGTCAGTATTGTATGCCACATTTTTAGGTGTTTTGAAGCTATTTTGCTGTTTATGTGAAATGTTAAACCCTATCAGGTCAAATTCTGAGCAGTGTCCAGGAAATGAACGTGTCACTGTACTATCCTCTGAAGCCATGGAGAAACAACTGTGTTTATGTGTTGTGTTATGTGTACTGTTGTACTATGCTACTGCTTTTCTATATCAGTAACTAATTCCTTTTTATCCTTCCATTACAGGGAAGAAGACTCCAATCCAGGAAGAAGATCACAGAAAGAAGTATCCAGTTCAGGGAGAAGAATACAGTTCAGGAACAGTCAGTCATCTTATTGCTTTAAATTCTTCGTTTTTTAGTTTATATTTCCTTAACGCATTTTTATACCTTTCCACTTTTAACTTTTAACTCTAAATATACTTGAAAGTGACAAAATAATTCCAGGCCATGGAGTTTATATTGTCAGGGTAACTTGAACAAAGAGGAAGGATTACTATGTTCAGGAAAGTAGTGTTGTTTACAAAAAATGTTTACAAAATGAAAAATGCAAAATAAGATCTGTTTAGTGCCTAGGTATTATTAAAATTAAAATGTTGAAAATTGAATGAAGTGATACAATAAATACAATTTTGTGACGAAAACCGTGTCTTCATTTTAAAGTATGTAATTATTTTACAGTTTTTAATTTAAAGTATTAAAACTAAAAAAAACATATTACTGTGATGACAATTGCAGTACTGTAATTATTACTGTAATAAAAATTACAGTATTTTATAGGTACTGTGGATGAATTTACAGTTAGCATACTGTGAAATACTACAGCAACTTACTTGCTAATTGCTGCCAGCTAGTTACTATACATTTTACAGTCTTCTTACACTGCAGTAATAAAACAACTTCATATTCAGCCAAAAGAAAACTGCTGATTTGCACTTCAGCCACAAGATGTCGCCAGAGGGGACGTCTTACCATTCAGACAGGGCCTGTTGCTGCAGCGGTCCAGCTTCTTCTCACAGTTGGAGCCGGTGTAGCTGGGAGGGCAGCGGCA